ACTCAACCATTTGGGGTGACCATTTTCTCTCCTACAATTCTGAAATAACAGTAAGTCACATACATATGTAATCACATGCTTATATTCTATTTGAATTTGTTATCTAAATGTTTAAAGGAATAAAGATGTTATAATTTTATTAGAGACAGGATCAAGCATTTAAACTTGGAAGGTTTAACCTTTAAGATTGGTCTTTATCGTACTTTTGAAATTATGAGTTTGAAATTTAATACTCCATCCGTCTCAATAAAGAATGAATATTTTACTATCTAGGGAGTCAAACAAGATTTTCTCTAACCTTTTTTTTGCAAATGTATTTTAAAAATTTTGAATTTTTAATTGTTGTGACTTACAATACCTTTTATGTAGTTTCTAAATGTGTAAATTTTATTTCAAAAAATTTAAAGAATATATATTCGTCACATTAAAAAATATTTAATTTGACCCTCATACTCCGAAAAGGTTCAAATAAATTGAAACGAATGGAATAGTACTATTTTGTAAAAACTTATGTAGATTTTCACTATATATCTAATAATGTATTCAAAACTAATAAATAATGATCAACATATGCGGATCTAAGATTTAAATTTTATGGGTTCAACCTTTAAGGATTTGTTGTAATTTTATTAGAATTTTACACATAAGTTTATACTTCGCGTGAAAGTATTGAGTTAAGATGAACCCGACATTATAACTGCGGATACGCCCTGATGCTCAATTTCTGCCTTGCAGGAAATTACTAGCCTAGAGAAAAATGAACATGAAGAGTTAAAAGAAATAGGTAGGAAAATGTTGGTAGAAACTCCAGATAATAGTACACAAAAACTTGTCTTGATTGACACAATTCAAAGATTGGGATTAGCATATCATTTCAATGATGAGATTGAAAACTCCATTCAAAACATCTTTTATTTGTCCCAAAATAGTGAAGAAGACGATGAACACAACCTTTATGTTGTTGCTCTTCGTTTTCGACTTGCGAGGCAACAAGGAAATTACATGTCTTCAGGTACCTTATATTTCTGCCCTTTCCCGCACAGCTTCATTTTTTTCGTTGTTAAAAGGGGTCCGGTGTATAAAATATCTCGTGTATACGCAGGGTCAGGAAGGGCCGCACCCAAGGGGTGTAATGCAGGCAACTTATCCTAATACAAGTATTAATAACTGATTTTATGGCTCGAACACGTAAATTGTAGATTACAAAGTGATAACTTTACCGTTGCTCCAAAGCTCGCCTTCCTTTTGTTATTGCATCTTATTTGTGCAGAGAATAGCGAGTTTCGAGATCTGCTTCTATATAGAAGACTTCTGTATTATACATTTTGATTTTGTCCTTATACTTAAAAATCTTAAAAAACTAAATGTGGAAATTGTAAATTTCTTAACTAGCTGTGAAATCAAATAGTTATTATAGGAATATTATTTAAGTTCTTTTGGTAGATATGTACTACTAGTAATTTTTTCAATAATAACTTGGGGTTTACTTCTTTTTCTGTGGCTTCTCCGCAACTATATTTCTTTTAACACTGTTGTGACTATGCTTTTCTTGAGTCGAGTGTCTATTGATAACAAGCCATCTACCTTTACAAGGTAGAGTTAAGGTCTGCATACACACTATACTCCGCAGACCCCACTTGTAGGATTTCAGTGGATTGTTTTTTGGTTGTTGTTGTAATAACTTAGGGTTTAATTTCTTGAAGCTAACGAAATTCATTTCTTTCAAAATATAAACATGGTGTTCAACCAGATGTGTTCAAGCAATTCACTAACCATGACGGAAAATTCAAGGAAAATCATACTAATGATGTTCGAGGATTACTGAGTTTGTATGAAGCAGCACATATGAGCGTGCACGACGAGGAAATTCTAGAAGAATCTCTTATCTTTACCACCACTCATCTCGAGTCCATGATCCCGAATTTGAGTAACTCGCTTAAGGTACAAGTTACTGAAGCCTTAAGCCAGCCTATTCGCAAAACTATACCAAGGGTGGGAGCAAGGAAATACATATACATTTATGAAAATATTGAAGCACATAATGATTTGCTTTTGAAATTTGCAAAGTTGGACTTTAACATGTTACAAAAGCTTCACCGGAAAGAGCTTAACGAGCTAACAAGGTATATCTACCATTCTTATCATCTTCATAATTATAGAATAGTCAGACATTTCTATAAAAACTATCATTTATAACAACACTTCACTATAACGGCCTAGTTTTCTTCGGATCCAATCTTTTATGTTAGATTATAATACATGTTCTATATAACAACACTTTATTATAACAGCCAAAAATTTTCGAAACAAACGAGGCTATTATAAAAATGTTTGACTGTAACTCGCGCTAATTAATAACACCTAAAGTTTAAGTATGTTAATATTGTTGTGATATCTATAGCTGGTGGAAAGATTTGGATTTTGCAAACAAATTTCCATATGCAAAGGACAGATTGGTAGAAGCTTACTTTTGGATGGTGGGAATATATTTTGAACCTCAGTATAGTCGTTCAAGAAGAATGATAACAAAAGTAGTCAAAACTAACTCCATCATTGATGACACTTATGATGCTTATGCAACTTTTGATGAGCTTGTGCTTTTCACGGATGCTATCCAAAGGTAAAATTATATATATTAAATTTTTTTTATAACAGCGCCATTTGTTCTGACATTTTTAAACTACTATAGTAAAATGTTGTTATAGAGAAATATATTATGACAGCTTAGACTTTGCAGATGGGACATAGGTGCCATGGATTCATTACCGACATATCTGAGACCTATTTATCAAGGCCTTCTCGACGTTTTCAATGAAATGGAAGAAGTATTGGCCAAAGAAGGTAAAGCAGATCGCATCTACTATGCGAAAAAAGAGGTAACCCATTAAGTTACATTAATTATTACTCAATAAGTTAATTAATTAAACCAAGTTGTAAGGAAGAATCACAATTTTGAATTATTAGTACTTTTTATGTTACCTTTTTAGATGAAAAAGTTGGTGGCAACCTATTTTAAGGAAGCTGAATGGTTGAATGCTAACTACATTCCAAAATGTGAGGAGTATATGAAAAATGGACTTGTAAGCTGTACGGGTATGATGTATGGAACAATTTCTTTGGTTGTTATGGAAGAATTTATAACAAAAGAGACTTTTGAATGGTTGGCAAATGAACCTTTGATTCTTCGAGCTTCATCAACAATTTGCAGATTAATGGACGATATTGCCGATCACGAAGTAAGTATAACAATATAATTTTCATTTTATATAATATCCAGAATCAACAATTAGTCATCCTAATTCGCGAATTTTGTCCCTAAATACAATACAAAAACAACAACTAGGTGGAGGTAGAAAAACAGTTTCCGATAGACTCTCGACCCAAAAAAAAAAAAATATTTCTCACTCCGATTTCCAGTCTAGGTGGCACTTTTGCATGATATAATAAATAGACATGCTTGATAAATTACAACTTCAATGAGCACATTTACTTAAAGTGATTTATGAAACTTTAGAAAAGACTGATTAAAATGGTAAAATATTGTATAATATTAATGAAGATATTGAAGTATATTATGTTGTAGGTTGAACAACAAAGAGGACATGTTGCTTCATTTGTGGAGTGCTACATGAAAGAATATGGAGTTTCAAAGCAAGAAGCATATGTTGAGATGTGGAAAAACATTACAAATGCGTGGAAATGCATAAATAAGGAACTCCTTCGCCCTACTGCAGTACCAATGTTTGTCCTTGAACGAACTTTAAATTATACAAGATTGGTTGATACATTTTTCAAAGATGATGATGGATACACAAATCCCAAATCCAAAGTTAAAGACCTAATTACTTTGTTGTTTGTCGAATCTATCGACATATAACAAATGCAGGGGCACCTTAAGCTAAGTATTTGGAGCAAATATGGAAGTATTTTGTGTGTTCTGACAACCGAATGTATTTTCTAGAATAAAAATTCAACTTATCTTAATTAAATGTTGATACGTTTTCAGTTAGGTAGGACACTTCACTTAGCCGTTGGGATAATATATTCTAATTACACTACACTTTACAAGCATCAATNAAAACCAAACACACACACACACACACAAACACCAACAACAAGAACACCAATAAGGGTGAAATGGTAGCTAATGACACACAATTTGGAAAAACACACTTCTCCCAAAAATGTTACAAATGGTGAAATGGATTGGGTGCTTTCTTAAGTGCTGGCTTTGTTCAAGGTATGACAGCATGCCTTGGTTGATAAAACTCAGAAAGTTGATAAAGTCAAACCAAACCGATTAAAAAATCCGACTTGATTTGGTATTGAGTAAAAAAAATTCGAACCAATCCGACATATAAATATATAATTTTTATATATACTTTTAAGATTTTATATAGAATTTTCTTTAAAAAATATCTAGAAATATTTGGGATTCTCTTGCGGGATATAAATTTTAATAGAATATGAAGTGCTCCATATTTATTGACCTTAAATAATGGGTTGTATGATCACTTTCTTATCAAGTGTCACTGAAATGCGTCTATCTCTTTGTTCTTCCATATTCATATCATATGTTAAGATCTATTAAATTCATATATCTTTTTCGAATGTGAAATGATTATTAATATTTATGTATCATATTGATCTTTACGTTTAATTACTAAATTCGGTTTAACCTGAAAGTGTATATCAACGAAAAATTATTGTTAGACGACTAAAAAAATAACTATTATGTGTTACTAATAGAATTCTCCCATAATTTTAATCGATAATATGTTTGTCAATTTTTTATGTTTTTACTAAATATATATTTACTTATCAAATATTTAACAAAGTAAGATTGAAATAATATTTAAGTAACAAAAAACCCGAAAAACCCGACAAAATCAAACCAATCCAAACCGATATAGTAGTTGGTTTGGTTCGGTTTTTATCAAAACCGAACCAACCCGATCTATGTACACCCCTACGGCCAATGGTTGAGGTAAAAGCAAAAATTGTGGCATCTGACTTTGATTGCATTTGCCATGGATTTTAGAGTGTAATACAAGAGATTATAGGTACAGATATAAAGGAGGGTGGGCAGCAAAGCCATTAGGAGTTCGCGATGGCACGTTCAATAAGTAAGGAGTCTACGTGGGGCTGCTGGTTCTGGCTTGACCACTGATTGATCATCCGTTAGCTGATTAGGATAGATAAGTGCGGCAAGTGAAATGGGCATGGTGCAGAGTGATTTGGATTGAAGGTATTGCATGCCTTCTCCAACATCTTCCTCCATCAGCTTTGCTACTTCTTGTTCTGTTTCTGTTGTAAACTAAGAGTCCACCAAACTGTATAGAGAAACTAGTTACTCTCAGCTCACGGGATTAAAAACTACAACCTACACTATTTTAGCTTCACTACACCGAGCAAACTTCAGATTACAACCTATTGTAACCTAGGAATTAAACTCTTAATCCTCCCTTACTTGCAATAATTATATTGCAAGCCTCTCTGTAATAACTCTATTACAAAAGACACCACTTTGACTAACTCTAGTCAAAACACAAACACACGGTTTATGATTTACAAAGATATCCTACGAGATGCTTCTAATTAACTAAGCTAAGTAGTAGTTACAAGTGAATTGACATTAACAAAGATACAACAATACTAAGAACACTTGAAATACTCAATGCTGGGATATGGTCTGTTGGTCTGTTGCTTCTTTGTTCTTCAATGACTTATAGAGAATCAGGGCGGTTGCACACTTGAGAGAGAATTGATATTTTAGGGTTTTTGCAAGTGTATTTGATCTCTTGCCTCATGTTGGTAATATATAAGTGAGGTCATTGGAATGATGTAAGCAAGTATCCGATACACAACATGCTTCAAAAAGTGACTGTTGCACTGTTGCGTGTATCGTGCAGCAACAGCTTTAACAGCTGTAAGGAGTTGACTTGTACTGTGACCGGAGGAACTGATAGCCATCTGTTCCCTCTATTGTTCCTTTAACTGATATTATTGGAACTTGTGCCAGACATGTGACTTGTTGTTCCGAGCACTTTGAGACTTGATATCAGGTTCCCTATCTGGTTCTCATAAAAAGTTTGTTAAATCATTAAAACGCGAAAGCACATAACCTATCAGTTTCGGCATTGGACCACTTGTCCCAGACATGCTGATTGGATCGACTTTCACCACTGTCCCCCTAAGAAATTGATGAAATAATTAAGTCTTGAAGCAAATGAAACAATCTTACAGTTGAGCTATGAGAGACTGTATAAAGGTATTTTCAATGATGAAAGTAATTTAGAAGTAAGAAAAAGTGTCTCTGTTCATTACCTCAACAGATTGCAATGGAATGTCAGTAACAAGTTGTGCCACCGCGCTAGCTCCTCCCAGCCTACTCATGCTCAGTACCTTTAGGCAGATTTAAGGCAAATCATTTATTGGACTAGCAAAATTAGGAAAACCAGGGAATCTAAAAGAACTAATAAGGGGGTTATCAATGTATTCAATTTGTTCAGTCTTTACTACGGCCAAAACTCCCTTGACTACAATAAGGACCAGAAAAAAGTGGTAAAAGATTAAGAGCTTTAAGCAGGACTACAATGATAACCATTGTCATTCAATCAAAGGTTTCAGTCAGTAAATTCATTACATAGTATTGCCACCAGAGAAGACTTTAAGATTGCCACCATCCATCCTCAGCGAGGTTATTTGTTTAATGGGAGGAAAAAGTGGAAGAGAAATTTCAATTATGGCAAGAAACAAGTTGAACCAGCTTTGAACGAGATCCATTCTTCCTTTCCGATTATTTTCACACACTTTTAGAAAGATTGATGCAAGGATAACCTGCAATTTGACTTATCAAGCAAAGATTAAAACTATGAAGAGTATAGTTGCTCATTAGGATTCCGCAAGGCGAAATCAACTTGCAAGGCAGCCAAATAAATTAATGGAACTACAGTGCTTAATCCTCCGCACAGTAAGGGGTTAAGGTGATATTAAGTCAATAACCTTCTGCAAAATCATTTACATCCCAACTCACAGAATGGATGTCCATCGAAGAAACTATTCAATTGATCAATCGATCGACTAAACACAATCCCAAGGTAGTTGGGTTGGCAAAGCTATACTCAAAGAAAGAATTATTAAACACCACCACTGAGATTCTCATACAGATTGTAAACTAAATAGAATGGCTTAAACTGTTTTTTTAATTTTATTGTTTTGTGGGGGTGGGGGGTGGCTTATTATGTTTCCATGCCAATACGCCGGTTATTATGTTCCCATTATCCAAAACCAGGATGGTAGCATATGGGAAACGAAAAGTAAGAAGAACCAGCGTCATTGCAGATAACTCCAAATTGCAAGATTTGAAACTGTTTATCATGGAATATATTGGCTAGAGTCATCAGCTAAGCCAGTAGATACCATCTGTAGCAGCCCAGTCCGCTAGTGATATTGTCCGCTCTGGCCTGGGCCCTCACGGTTTAAAACGTGTCACTAGGGTCTAAGGCTTGTTTCCCAGCATCCCTATTATGTTTTGCCGATGTGGGACTCTGTCTTTAAGTCTGGGGTGTTACATACACCCCCTCTCATGGACTCAGCGTCCTCGCTGAGGTTTGCCCCACCGCATGGGATTCGCCTACATTCAGCACAGAGGTTTGCCCTGCCTAATCGGGATTTGCCTAAACTCAGTTGAACTCTGACCCACCATCGGCAAGACTGACACAAGAGTAGCTCTGATACCATCTGTAACAGCTCAGCCCGCTAGTGATATTGTCCGCTCTGGGCCTGGGTCCTCACGGGTTTAAAATGCGTCACTAGGGTCTAAGGCTTGTTTCCCAGCATCCCTCTTGTGTTTTGTCGATGTAGGACTCTGTCTTAAGTCTGGGGTGTTACATTTTAAAAACTACTTAAAGTTTAGCCAGTTTTGGTAACTTTAGACGGCTCTTGTTGCTGCTGCTACTTCTTCTTCTTCTTCTTTAGACCTTCAGGTCAACTTCAGAAGATCGAGTGCCAGAGCCTAAGCTAGCGTTTGGCCATAAATTCCCAAATTTGTTTTGAAAATTCTGATTTGGGTGAAGTTTGATTTGAAGATAAAAATGTGTTTGGACATGATTTTTCAAAACATATTTCACTTTTTATTTGAAAAAACATAAAACATGACTTATACCCACAAGTTCCAAAAACTATCACAAATACCCAATAGTACCAAACAAACAAACTTGCTATCTTGTATATACATAACCTTCATTACTCAGATTACACATAGGAAGTCATTACTCATATTACACATAGGAAGTCACTACTCAGATTACAATCATGCATACACCACAACGTACAACTAAAATAATTAGCATCAGCGTTTCATGCATTAGAGTACAACATAACAAAATGAAAATAACAGTTAGCTCAATTTTTCTTTAAGTCGTTAAACCATTCGACTTGATTTTTTCCGGTCATATGAACGAATATCTTGCGAAAGCTGGGGTTAAGCAAGAAAGGCACTGCTGGTGAAAATTTTTCGTCAGCTAAACTATATTTTTGCAAGACAAATTACAAGTGGGTAGTCACAGCTTCCTCAAAATAGATATCAATCTCAGTTTCTTTCGAGAGCAGATACAAAGAAAGATGCAGGAACAAGCAGAAATTGAGGTGATTATTTAAATGTGGGCTCTTTTACAAACTACAAAAGTTTGGGATAATATTTAAAAATTTTAAAAAATAAAATGGTCATGTTTTGGCCCAAAATCAGCAATTGAGGTGATTTTGGGATTTGGGATCTTGCCAAAATATGGGCAAAATCTATGGCCAAACATGTGTTTGCCAAATAAATCCCAAATTTATTTTGGCAAAACTCATGGCCAAACGGGTCCTAAATTTATAGCCCGTTTGGCCAAGCTACAAAATTCAGTTTATTTTGAGAAGTATTTTTTCTCAAAAGTACTTTTCTTAGTTTGTGCTTGGTTAATTAATTTGAAAAACACTTCTGAGCAGCAATTAGTGTTTGGCCAAGCTTTAAAAAACTATTTTTAAGTTTATTTTTCTCGAAAGTACTTTTCAAAAATATATTTTTGGAGAGAAGCTATTCCAAAATTGCTTCTGCTTCTACTCAAAAAATACTTTTTTCCTTTCAAAAGCTTGGCCAAACACCTTAATTTTAGAAAAAAATATTTTTGCCTCAAAATAAGAAGCTTGGCCAAATAGGCTATTAGACCGAAACTATATTCAAACTTCCGACCTGACCTCTGATTTTAGGCTTTGGGTGAGCGCGATTTGCAAATTTAGACCGTCGAGTCTGAAGTTGATTATGAGGAAGCTAAACTTTAAATAATTTATATATCTAGGCTATTCTTTATAATAAGGTTCTAAAAACAGATATTTGTACATATCACCAGATCTCAGGTCTGAAGTTAAGTTTTAGGTAGGTTCCTAAAATCAGCTAAGTACACTTGCCTTACGGATCAGGACGGAAGAAGCATAAATTCTGAGCTTCCATTAACAAACTAGTACTTACTACACTTACGTGCTTCACTGCAAAAGCTCCGGATCTGCTGACGTCATCACGGCCATTATCTAAGCTTAACCCCAACGGCTGCGGCGGCTGCTGGAGCTGAGAGGCACCAGATACTGAATCGGACGACGTCGTTTTCGATGAAGCACAGGCACCAATATCAGTTACCGGGAGGCTAGAGTAAGAAGGAATAGCCAGAATTTGCTCGAGAAAATCGTCGCCGGCGGCGTAGCCCTCCGGTGGATTGCTAGCCTTGCCGGAGATTTTCAGAGGAAACGAAAATAATGGAATTTATGTCTGTTATTGTCTTTCTTGCTTTTTGGCTCTTTGCTTTTTTTTAAAAGTGATGCTTTTTAGATGAATTTATTTTTCTTCTTTTGCCCCACTAAAGTTTATTGTAATGTTGTATTGTACTCCATATGTTGTAATTGGTATATTTACCCCCCTAGTCCTAGACTTGTACTTCTTATAAAATCTCGTTTCCTCATTTTACAACAAGAAAAATGGCAACCCGGTGTCAGTGGCGGAGCCAGAATTTTCGTTAAGGGGTGTAAAAATATATAAATGTAAACATATCAGAAAATTAAGGGGAATCAATACATAGTGTATATACATATAATTTATTTTTTTACCTACCTACACTGTGTATTTTTCCAGCAAAGGGTGTCATTTGACACCCCTCCTTATAAGGTGGCTCCGCCACTGCCCGGTGCACTAAGTTCCTCACTATAGATGGTGTCTGAAAAAGAGCCGGACCACAAGGTTGGGGTCTGAGGAAGAGGCAGACCACAAGGATCTATTGTACGCAGTCTTACACTGCATTTCTACAAGAGACCGTTTTCACGGATTGAACTCATGACCTCCTAATCACATGACAATAGCTTTACCGGTTACGCCAAGGCTTTCCTTCCTCATTTTACAACAACAACAAAACACTCAGTGTTCTCCTCATTTTTCAAAGAAAAAAAGTTTTAAATTTAATCGTATTCATTGTCCTCTACTGATGTTCTAATAGTATTTTCGACACATAAATATATTCTCATTAACACTTTATCTCTTAATTAGTATGTTTTTACTTAGAAAAACCTACTAATTGTGGTTTATTTTTTGGCAAACTACAGTCGGAATATCAAGTAAAAGAGTATTCTACTTGGCACAACTATCAGAAAAATATGTTTGATTGGTCAACTTTAGGCTTATTATAGTTGTTCAATTCGAACAAGAGCTATTTAAGGTGTCTAAATGAAAAATTATAACACTTAAGGTGTTTAATTATATATTCAGACAAAACATATGTACCAGAGTCTCATTAAAAGAGGACAATCTGAAATAATTTAACTTAAAAAAAGGGAGCCAATCTGATTGAATAGTAAAAATCATATTCTATGACGAATAATATATTTCTTCCCTTAGCTGCAAAACACACCTACTTCATCGGCTCAGTGCTACTACGCCCTTTCTCCTCTGTTGAAAATCGCCTTCTCAAGCAGCCCAAGTCTCTTTCATACAGACCCATTTGGCTAAACTCGTAAAATTCTCTTTCACTATCTCTCTTGATTTTGTAAATTTATTCTTATAACTTTGTATAGTACTGTAAATTACATTCAGATAGCACTTATTGTGGCCTAATTAAGTTTTTTGCAACTTTTCATTTTGCAGAAATGTGTTATCTTAAATTTGTGCATATTTTGTTTCATATGGTACAAAGATTGGATAAATACTCTGATAAGTATTACTCCCTCGGTCTGAATTTATGTGGCGCTGTTTGACCGGCCACCAAATTAGAAATAAGACTTTTGAAACTTGTGATCTAAAATAAGTCATAAAGATGTGTGTGGCTAGAAATAATATCATTTAGGGTAATTTGAGAAGTTTAAAGTTAAATTATTTTAAATATATAATTGGATCATTCTTTTCTGGGACAAAGTAGATAAGAAAGTATGTCACATTTTGTACAGTACTGTAAATTACATTCAGATAGCACTTATTGAGGCCTAATTAAGTTTTTTTTTGCAAGTTTTCATTTTGCAGAAATGTGTTATCTTGATTTTGTGCATATTTGTTTCATATGGTACAAAGATTGGATTTATACTCTGATAAGTATTACTCCCTCGATCTGAATTTATGTGGCGATGTTTGACTGGGTATGGAGTTAATGAGAGAAATATGAGTTTTGAAATTTTTGATCTAAAAACATTTATAGACGTGTGGCTATACATTTTCTCATTAAAGGTAAATTGAAAAGGTTAAAGTTAGATTGAATTCAAAATATATAATTGGGTCTTTTTTTTTTGGGGACAAACTAGGAAAGAAAGTATGTCACATTTTATGTGAGGGAGTAAAAAAGATAAAAACTTTATCTGTTTAATTAAAAAAGATAAAAACTTAATCTGTTCTATTAAAAAAACACTTTATCTGTTCTAGTATGACATTTACAATTGACCATTTTACTTATATGACTTAATTAAGAAGTTTATATTGATGCTTGTCGGTAAGGATACATATAGCTGAACACAACTTGTTTGGAACTAAAGCGTAGTTGTTATATATTGATGTTGGTCTTTCGAAATCAAATACAACTATTCATTGACCTTAGCATATTGTAGGTGTTTGTTTTTAAGAATTTTTTCTTTTCAAAATATGCATGGGCGAGTATACTGGGTATGTTGTTGTTGTTGTTGTTGTTGTAATATGCATGGGGAGTATTTGCTAAATGTCCCATCCAAGAAGGAAATCACAGCAATGAAATTTCGAGCAAGTGTTGATTCTTGTAAGCTGCTTCTGAAGATCTTAGTTTAACTTGAAGCAAGTTGTACATTAGCCTAAAAAGGATACAAAAAAAGAGAGTGAAAAAGGAAGTTCCATTTATCCAATGCATAGTGGGAAAAGAAGATTCACTTCATGTGGTATTTAGTTATTTGTTTGACTTTCTTTTGACACCAATGGCCAGTGGCAGAGTCGGGAATTTTACCAAGTGGATATTCAAAAAATTCTAACTTGCGACCTAAGGCAATTTTTGAACTACATTCTTGTATGTCAAGGGGATTCAAAAATTTATGTATATATGTATATGTATAAATGAACAAATTGTTTTTACCCTATTTGCATAGTACAAATTATCAATGTTGAACCCCTTTCTTGGCTGTGGCTCTGCCACTGTCGATGACGGGTCTCAAAACTTGCCCCGTTTTTTGGTCATTTGAACTTTCATTAATCCAACTTCAGATACTTGTTTGTTTGTTTCATAGTCAGTTACCCAAACTTTTTCATGACTATATGTAAACTTTTAGGATGAGAAAATGTACACTCTCTTCTTCTTTATGTATCAACGGTGGGGATGAGTGAAGAGCGGGTCTATTCTTTCATATTTGTTTTCTTGATTGGAAACTAAATGTTCCTTGATTAGTGAAATTTCTGTATTGAATGGTCCCTTTTTTATGTTAATTTCTAGACGAAGTTTCTCAGTTTTCTCCACAATGAATAATGTAAGAGCCGGCTCCTCGAAAGAATTTCCTCTGGGGTTGGACGCAAGTACTGAGGAAGAATACTCTTCTCAATCTAGTTTGCTCCAAGATTTCACTAGCATCCCCACCATTGATAAGGCATGGACTTTCACATCTGATGGTGGTATGATTTCTTTAATTCTTCATTCGCTTAATTTGGTAGATAAAAAACAGGTGTAGTTCTAGTTAAATTCTTGCATTCCCACTTAATATATTGCTTTATTCTTTAACTGCTGCTAGATCGTAACCATTTTTTTTTTGTTACTTTTCGCTGCACCAGAAGGTTCCCAGGGTATGTTCTCGATAAGCCAACCGAATCTCCTAGCCAACAAAAAGAGAAGATACATATTATCTTGTCATATTTCAAAAGAAAGTACAGATGGTGTGGACTTTCTATGGGCTGCATTTCCTATTGAGATGTCCAATGTTTCTCTGATGATCCCATCACCTTCAGGTTCAAAGCTTCTTGTAGTTCGAAATCCTGAAAATGATTCTCCGACCAAGTTTGAAATTTGGGGTCAATCTCTGGTGGAAAAGGAGTTTTTGGTTCCTACCTCTGTCCATGGCTCCGTATATTCAGATGGATGGTAAGTTATTATATGAACACATAACTTTACTTCACTTGCCNTCCATGGCTCCGTATATTCAGATGGATGGTAAGTTATTATATGAACACTTAACTTTACTTACTTCACTTCCGGATTCACATACTCAATGTGCATTAATATTTGATAATGCAGGTTTGAGGGAATATCGTGGAACAACGATGAAACTCTTATTGCTTATGTCGCTGAGGAACCGGCTCCCTCGAAGCCTACATTTACTACTTTTGGTTATAAGAAAGAGAATTCTACAGAAAAGGAATGTGGTAAGTGGAAAGGTCAAGGGGACTGGGAAGAGGAGTGGGGGGAAACCTATGCTGGAAAAAGACAACCTGCTCTTTTCATCATCAATGTCAACAGGTCTGTATATTGCTCATATATAAGGGCAGCCGGTGCACTAGCTCCCGCTATGCGCAGGGTCAGGTGAAGGGTCGGACCACATTGGGTCTTATCGTACACAGCCTTACCTTGTATTTCTGCAAGAGGCTGTTTCCGCGGCTTGAACCAATGACCTCTTGGTCACACGGCGACAACTTTTTCTGTTGCCCCAAACCTTCCCTTCAGTTTTGATGTTTTTAGATAGCAATTCTAATTATGAATTTGTGCAGTGGAGAAGTACGTCCTGTTGAAGGAATTGGGAAGTCACTGAGTGTCGGACAAGTTGTATGGGCTCCATCCACTGAAGGATTGCAACAATATCTGGTTTTTGTTGGGTGGCCTTCAGATACTAGAAAGTTGGGCATAAAATATTGCTATAACAGGCCTTGTGCCTTATATGCTGTTAGAGCTCCATTTTCAAAGTCAGACATCCATCAATCTGGGTAATTACTTGTTAGTTGCTAGAAAAGAAAATGTTATGGATTAACATCTTCTATATGAATGTATAAAGGGGACTTAGCTAGTGGAGAATTCCTTTATATTTGGTATATGCTATTTTACTAATTTCGATTGACATTTTCTCACTTTCAGAACTCATGCAGCTGACAATGTATCTCCAACTAAGCTGACACAAAGCTTAAGTAGTGCTTACTTTCCTCGTTTCAGGTTTGTCTTGAATTACTGGCCTGGCCAACCCCCTCCCCCCTCCCCACACTCCCCAGAATAAAAAGGAGAAAAATAAGCACCCCAAGGGCATGGTCTAGTTGTTAATGACGTGGGATGGGAACCATGAGGCCGTAGGTTCAACTCCCAGCCGAGGCAAAAACACTAGGTAATTTCTCCATTATGTCCAAGTATTGGTAGACAAAGTTATCCGATACCTATGCTGGTGGGAGGTAGCACATACCCCGGGGAATTAGTCGAGGTGCGCGCAAGTTGGTCCAAACACCACGGGTAATAAAAGAAAAAGAAAAAAATATAATGTTGAAAAACAGGAAGAGCAGATGTGTAGATGAATTTCTGAAATTGGTGGAGACATGTCCTTGTGCCCTTGATTTTCTCCTTTAGATAACAATTGTTAAAACATCAGTAGGTTCCATGTAAGGAGTCTTGCAGCTTCCTCATGTTATTTAACAGCTGCAGGTATTTTGCTTGATAAAATGGAACTAATTAATCTTTTCAATAAATTTTCCAGTCCAGATGGAAAATTGCTTCTGTTTTTGTCCGCTAGAAGTTCAGTAGATTCTTGGGCACATTCTGCAACTGGTTCACTTCATAGGATTGATTGGTCATTCAATGGAAAGCCAACTCCAGATGCTAAAATTATTGATGTGGTACACTCACTTTTTGTGATTCTAATTACTTGCATCAGCACTTTGAAGCCAGTCATTGTTAGCCATTTTAAGTAGTATTATTATATTTGATTCCGGCTTTATCCTACTGCAGGTTCCTGTTGTGATGTGTCCTGAAGATGGCTGCTTCCCTGGCCTTTACTGCTATAGTGTTCCTAGTAGACCTTGGATTTCTGATGGATCTACTATGATCTTATCTTCTATCTGGGGCAGCGCACAAGTAATAATTTCAGTAAATGTGATAAGGTAACCTAATATTTTGTTATTCAATGTGAATGGCATCACGACATGCTTTGAATTCTTTTTCTGTATCAACAAGTTTATAGTAGTGAAATGCGTCTTTGTCAAAAATGATAGTGGAAATGTATCACGCATTAGCCTTGGAGACTCTAGCTTCTCTTGGAATGTGCTCGCACTAGATGGTGACAACATCATAGCTGGTAAGAGTCGGTGTTTATACTTCAATTTATACTGGTTCCTGTAATAGTAGTCCCATTAATCAAAGAGTCTATCATTTTTTTGGGGTTAAAGTCTGTAGTAGTCCCGTTGATGTTCCTGCAATCAAGTACGGGTCCTTTGTCCGTAAGGCATCCGCAGAGGCCTCATGGAGTTGGTTAGATGTTTCAAGCCCCATATCTAGATGCTCTGAAAAGGTCAGTCTGTTTCTCTTTATTTTTTTTTCTTTATTTATTTATTGTTTCATCTAGTCTGTTCTGTTAGGTATGTACTAGTTAGGAAGGCTTTTCTGAAATTAAAATGTCCCCAATAATTCTCACAGGTAACATCTCTGCTGTCTTCACGCCAATTTAGTATTATGAGGATTCCTGTCAGGGATATCTCCGAGAACCTTACTAAAGGTAATATAACTCATCGTAGTCTTCACTAAAGACTTGCTTACACGTGGACGTGTGATATTTTAAGTATTTAGGATGGGTTTATGTATAATGATATGGAGACCAACTTCTTGATGGGTTTATGTATAACCTTATGCTGCGCTGTTTCTCTGAAATAGATTGAGTACTTTAAGTTATATGCTCCTGGTGATGATTTGATATTCAGAAATTCAAACTCCGATAGTGGAGTGTGTCTCAAAAAATCAAGAATATATTTGTTTCCTGGCATAGTGTGTAAAAATATTTTTTTAGTGTTTGCACAGATAGCTTCTAGCTCACCTTTTGAGGAACTTGTCAGCGTAAAGTTTTGATTAATTTAATTTATTCCTGCAACCGTTTAATTAATATTCCAGCGTCCATGTAGTTGATAATTTGTTTTCTATGATAATGATCTGAAAATAGGACATAGTTATTGCATAATGTGCTACGGAAGCGGATCTATTGTTCAAAGACATGTTTCCTGCATTAATAACATTACACTTAATAGTATATGGGCTACAGCTCCCTTGTCTGCTTTCTCTACAACACAATTCCTTTTATCTACCAAAAAGAAAAAAGAAATCTTAGACCTGATTACTATTTGAACCTACGTAATATGAACTATGGTTATATTAATCAAATTCTTGCACTGAAGCACAGGAACTCCTAGTTGATGGTTAAACCAGCATAATATTGCTTTAAACACAGATATAGAAGCTCCAGGAAAAGAAGAGACAGTGTACTATGCAGACGAGGTTTTAATTGTTATTCCAATTGCACTAAAATCAAAACATCATATGCGTAGTACAATTATTCTTGTAATTCCCTTAATTCTCTTTTAATTCCAATTTCATTTTGTTTTTTTCTGTTTGTGTAGTTTATTATTATACAAATATATTACCTTCTGAAAAAAGAAAAAAAATCAAAATACCGTATGCATAGTACAATTACACTATAAGATATGTCAATAAACTAATATTATGGCCAGCATCTAGTATAACAAAATGAAAGGAGATAGAAGCTTAGAGTCATGACCTGGGGCTACATAGCATGATGCCTGCTATGCTTTAATTTCCTAGTTTTAATTGTCAGAATCAGCAGATGAGTTCTAGAATAAAAACAAGATTGAATTTTTGGTGAAAATTTGGGCATGAAAGCTATTAAAAAATCTATCAAAATAAGTTTTGGATATTCTAATTTATGGAGTGAGTTGTAATTTAAAATCGTGGCTCAAGGCTGAATAACTGTGCTATTTCTACTTTAATCTTCAATGAGTTTTATTCATGTAGGTGCCGGCAAACCGTATGAGGCTATCTTTGTATCCTCTAAGTCTCAGAGCCGCAATGTGTGTGATCCGCTGATTGTAGTCCTTCACGGGGGTCCTCATTCTGTTTCATTGTCAAGCTTCTCAACGTCCTTAGCTTTCCTTTCCTCGCTTGGTTATAGCTTGTTGATTGTAAATTACAGGTAAGCAACATAACTGACTTCTTTCTTCATGCTTCTGTTAATTCAAATGGTTGCTGAAATTTGTGATCACTCCGACTGTGAAATACTAGTAACGTATATGAGATGCTAGACTAGTATTATAGGTCGCGAGATATCCCTTCCTTTTGCAATTTTTTTATTTGGACATCCGTGTATTTATTCTTTTAGATGTATGGTGACATGCAAAATGTAACGTGTGTGAGATGCTAGACTAATTGTATAGGGCGTGAAACTTTTGATGATATCCCCTTTGCAACTTTTTATTAAGACATCTGTGTATTTAATTCTTTTAGATTTAAGGTGACATGCAAATAAAATACATAAACAAACAGCTCTTACTCACACCCCTTACCCCATGGAAATTTGTGCAAATGCCAAAATTTCCTGCAGATGGGGGAAAGTGAATATCATTTTGACTATATTGAAAAAATGATATTCAATATAAATTTCAGCTTGAAAAAAAAATTATTCTCTTTCCCAACTTATATATTAGCTAGCTTCAACCTACTTTCTTGGTTTTATTCAATGTCAATGAATTTAATCAAGAGATGCTGGAAATTTAAAATTCACATTTTAGTTAGCTACCAGTAAATAACTGATCAAAGAAATTTCTGCTGGTAAAGAATCAAGTGGAATGATGAAAATGGCAATCTCAAAATTTGTTTGGTTGAGATTGACACAGTATAATATAAAAGAGATCTAAACTTGAGGCCATATTTAAATTGGTGATTCTGGTCTAAACAAATTTCAATCTTAGCAACATTCTAAAATGAAGAAGAAAGTTTAATGGATTTTTTTTAAATTGTAAATAAGGGATATATAATCTATGGAGATACCAAGTGATTAGGAAATGATATCCCAAAAAACTAATTCTCTTTTACATAATTTATATTGTTTGAAGAGCTCACAGATTAGCCAGTAAATGATGAACTTACAACGACCTTGCAGAATCCTCTCATTTGCCTCTGTTCCCGGGAACAAAACACTAGTAGAAGAATATATTTACAATTATAAATAGAACTCATGGAATTTTTTAAATGGAGATTGTTTATCAATACACTAGATATCAACAAATTATCTATCAGTGCTTCTTTCATCTTTTCTTTAGCTGCGAGTTTATCGGAAACAACCTCTCTACCCGTCCAGGGTAGAGGTAAGGATGCGTACATCCTACCCTCCCCAGACCCCACTTGTGGGAATACATTGGGTTGTTGTTGTAGTAGACTGATGCCAAGCCAGATTCTTAGATTAATCAGAATCAAAATGAATGAAGTGAACCCAAAATCTAGGTTGAGTTGGCTCCTAGATGGTCACTTGACATTAGGGACAATTGCTCCCCTTTTGCAGTTTTGGGGGCATGTAAACAACAGCAACAACAACCCAGTGTAATCATACAAGTGGGGTATGGGGAGGATAGTGAGTACGCAAATCTTATCCCTATCCCGAGGGGGTAGAGGCTGTTTCCGAAAGACCCTCGCTCAAGAAGACGAATAGAGACAATAAATCAGTACCATCAACAGAAATCACAGAAATAATAGTAGCAACATAAGGACCAGAAAATAAATGAAAAGCAATAACAATAACAAGTAGATAAGGCCCGGTACTAGAAAAAAATGGAAGAATAGTATGAACACATCATTAACTACTAGCAGTCTAAGACAAAACCTTATCTGACTAGTCTCTCACCCGGAACGATGCAGAAAAATGGTCAACTGCCTCCTAATCTACAACCCTAATGCTCGACCTCCACACCTTGCTATCAAGGGCCATGTCCTCGAAAATCTGAAGCCACGCCATGTTCTGCCTGATCACCTCTCCCCAATACTTCTTAGGCCACCCTCTACCTCTTCTCGTACCAGCCATAGCCAACCGCTCACACCTCCTTACCGGGGCTTATGAGATTTTCCTCCGCACGTGCCCGAACCATTTGAGCCTCGCTTCCCGCATCTTGTCATCCATAGGAGTTACCCCTACCTTCTCCCGAATATTTTCATTCCTAATCTTATCCATCCTATTGTGCCCTCACATCCACCTCAACATCCTCAGTTCTGCTTTCCTCAGTTTTGCTACTTTCATCTTCTGGATATGTGAGTTCTTAACTGGCCAACACTTTGCCCCATGCAACATGGTTGGTCTAACCACCGCTCTATAAAACTTACCTTTGAGCATCGGTGGCATTTTCTTGTCGTACATGACTCCAGATGCTAACCTCCATTTCATCCACCCCACCCTTATACGGTGTGCAACATACTCGCCGATCTCCCCATCCCCCTGGATAACCAACCCAAGGTACTTGAAACTGTCTGTCTTGGGGATGGCCTGTGATCCAAGCCTCACGTCCATGCCCGCTTCACTCGACTCGGCGCTGAACTTGCACTCCAGGTATTTTGTCTTCGTGCTGCTCAACTTGAAACCCTTAGATTCATGGGTCTCTCCAAACTTGCATCCTCTCGTTAACGCCGCCCCGCGTCTCATCAATCAGAACTATGTCATCAGCGTATAACATACACCATGGCACCTCCCCTTGAATATGGTGTGTCAGTGCATCCATCACCAGGGCAAATAAGAAGGGCTTAGCGCAGATCCTTGGTGCAATCCCATAACAACCGGAAAATGCTCAGAGCCACCTCCCACAGTCCTAACCCGAGTTTTAGCTCCATCATACATGTCTTTAATCGCCCTGATGTAAGCGACTGGCACACCTTTTGCCTCCAGGCATCTCCAAAGGACTTCCCTGGGCACCTTGTCCAAAAGGCATGTCATGTTCATTGAAGTCCGCATGTACTCCAGATAAGTCCTTTTTTTCTTTCCCCAAAAGGGATACCTTTTGTCTAAATTCATTGTCCATTCCAATGTTTGTTTTCTTTGAATCCTTTTCGGTCTAACTCTGTTCCGAAGCTAAGACAAAGAAGGGATGGTAAGACTGATTTACAGGGTTCTCGTTTGATACAAGCTAATATGCAAAAAAGGCACCCAGCCTAGGCAGGGGCATCAAGTCGACCCCGACTGGCCATGGCGGCCGATGCTTCGAAATCAAAAACTCTTGGAAGGAGGAAATCAAATTGAAAGCGCCTACAAAAGCAAAATGAAGTTGAAAAAGTAAAGTCCCAAGTGGCTAACCGTCTTGGCAAAGTTTGAAAAGCCAAAGGTTCCCTAATGCTCTGAAGTTAAAATTGGAAGAAAGAAGTCAAAGGCCTACAAAGTCAAAATAAAGTTGGAAAAGGTTAAGTCCCACGTGATCGACTATCATGGCAAAGTTTGTAAAAGCCAAAGGTTCTCCGAGGCCAGAAATGCAATCAGTATTTAGGAAACTAGCAGTTGCAGGTGAAATTATCATCAAAGAAGCCGGGCAAGATCAAGCCACTGAAACACTCAAGGCCGCAAAACCAACCACCGTTTCAAACTAACAATTGTTCTTTGTATGAAAAACAGGAAACAGGTGCAACCCAAAAGCAACCTTGCAAGAAGCAGGTGCAACCATAAAAAAAAGAAGAAAAAAAAGAAGGAAAAAATAGAGGGGAGGGATTTGAGAGAAATGTTTTTGCTTCTTCTACGCTAAGGGAATTTCTATTCGTGTCATTCTTTCTTCGTCTTTCTTTCGAAAAAACCAGCAGCTTCACCACCCAAAAACTACCAGCCCTTGACCACTTTTGAGCCATCATTAACCCCCCCAAAACCGTCCCGAACAGCAGTGAAAACGCAGCTGAAACAGGCCCAAAAAAAACAGCTGCGAAAATCACCTAAAACCAGTCCTCTTCTCGCACAAAAAAAAAAAAAAAAAAAAAAAAAAAAAAAAAAAAAAAAAAAAAAAAAAAAAAAAAGCTCCAAAAATTGAGTTTGTCGGGGTCGAGGTCGCCGACTTGGCTTTCGGTTTGAGGCGCATTTTAGTCCATATCTTGTCATCAGTTTTCTCGTGTTTTTGCTCCTTTCAAATCATCACTGTATAAAGCTTTGGGATAAAAAGTGTTGGATTATAATGAAGAAAGCTTCTCGCTATAAGGTTGAGTTTTCTTTTCTCTCCACTGTTGTATATTTTGTTTGCTTGTTTTTCTGTGTTGCTCAATGATTAAACACATGATATTTTGCTCGGTTAATGTCCTTTTACTGTATTTTGATCTCCATTAGTGTTCATCTATAGTTGACTCTTTGTAGTTTTGGTTGTTCGTTAGTTTGGATTAAGAGAACATTCAAGTAAGCTTTAAATCATGTTTAATGGATGTTGATTTTGAAACTTGATTTCATTTTAACAATATTTTGTAAATCATGCCTTAGCATTTTTCCATGTTTTGTACGTCCTTATTTGGTTCTTTTATTATTTACATTATTTAGGTATTTTGTAAAATGGAATGCTAGTAATTTATTAAGTTATTATGACTTTTAATAAGCTCTAAAGAATAAATGTTCTCTTAATGATAATAATAGTTGTATCATACTATTTCTTCCACAAAATCTCCTATCCATAATTCACAATCTTGCAATAATCTCAAATTTAGGAGTTGAACAACTCACTCGCTAATATGCTTTTAGGCGCGATTAATAATAAATCATCGTGACTATGGGTACGGTTCCTGCGTCATGGTTACGATACATAAATCCCTACTCAGGTGCGCGTTTCACGCAACTTGACCTCATTTCAAACAATAATAAAATCAATATGTTGTAGATCGCGGGTGCGTTTCACGTGACGCGATTCGCAATATGTACAAAAAACAACGAGTGCGCGACATCGTAACTTATTCAAATAAATTCCATAAATACTAAAAGTGGTTAAATAAATAATTAAAAGCGGTTAGAAAGTAAAAATGCACAATTGATTTTGAACATGTAATAAATCATATAATTATGTCAATTTTTAATAGTTGAGCGACCGTGCTAAAATCACAGAACTCGGGAGTGCCTCACACCTTCTCCCGGGTTAACAAAATTCCTTACCCGGTCTTCTGTGTTCGCGGACCATAAATAAGAGTTAATTTTCTCGATTTGGGATTTTAAAATAAACCGGTGACTTGGGACACCATAACAATTATTCCAAGTGGCGACTCTGATTAATTAAATAATCCCATTTCGATTAATGTCACTTTAATTGGAAAAACTCCCTATCCCCTCGGAAAAAAGGAAGTGTGACACCCTTATAGTTATTGCAACTCTGGATATCACCTTTGTTCTTGTGCAACGGTACCACCGTACTCCATCTCCACTCGTTCGGCATCCTCTTCGTCCTGAAAATAACATTAAACAACACAGTCAGCCATCTCTACCCACACACTTCCAAAATTCTACCGGAATTTTGTTTGGCCCGGTTGCTCTGCCCTTTCTCATCTTACGCATAGCCCCCCACGACCTCCTCAAAAGAAGATTTTGGGGCATGTAAACATCGAAAGAAAACCTTGAGGGGGCATTGTTTAAGGCAAAATAACACTTCAATTGCTTTGTAGAGTGGCCTTTCCTTTGTTAATTTCTGGTTTAAACTGTAGTATCAATTGCTCATCGTAGTGAAACNTTTTTTTTTTTTTTTTTGGGTAAGCGGCAATAAATGCCTTAATTAAGCACTTTTTGTTTTGTCACTCCTCTCAGAGGCTCCTTGGGGTTTGGCGAGGAAGCAGTACAATCTCTTCCTGGTAAAATTGGATCACAGGTACTTGTTTGCCATCTATTCATTCTCTTAACTTAAAGGTTTCATGGAATAGAATTGCTCCTTTTTCATAATAATTCTATTAAGGATTTGGAACCTAAGACTTTCTTCCTCTTTTTTCCTTTATCTTCAGGATGTTAATGATGTACTTGCTGCTATAGATCATGTCATTGAAAAGGGACTTGCAGATCCGTCTAAAATAGCCGTGCTGGGCGGTTCTCACGGTGGATTTTTGACAACTCACTTGATTGGCCAGGTCTATCAATTTCCTAAGATGCCATTGTCTTTATGTTTTCTTATGTACCCATTTTTCTGAACTTATGATCCTCGTTAGCTTTGTTCAACAAACATTTGTGGCTCTTTATAAAGGGAAGCTGGACAAGCTTGTCTTTTTTAAATTTAAAGAAGAATTAACCTAAATAGCCGCCCACCCAACCGCGTAAACCAAAAATAGCCGTGGATGTATAATATATGTATAATCCATGTATAATGTGTATAACCTTGTATAATCAGTGTATAATCTATGTATACCGGCTAGGAAAAGTAAACTGTGAATCCGGCCGGCTATTTGTGTAAAAATCCCAAAATGACTATTTCTTGACTGTTCTGCTACTATTTCTGCAGGCACCAGATAAGTTTGCAGCAGCAGTTGCGAGGAACCCTGTTTGCAACCTTGCTTTGATGGTTGGTACATCTGATATACCTGATTGGTGCTATGCCGAGACATTTGGATATAAGGGAAAATCAAGCTTTACAGAGGCTACTTCAGTTGAACACCTTGAAGCCTTTTACAGAAAATCACCAATTTCACACGTCTCCAAGGTGTGATCTGTTACATCTGGGTTCGACAGTCTTCGGTGTTAAACTATTTGTGTTTCTATCAGTTCTCTAGAAAGTATTTTATCGGAATGCATTTCCAACATCGATGTGCTTACAAATTTGTAGGTCAGAACTCCTACACTTGTCCTGTTAGGTGCAAAGGACCTCCGTGTACCAATGTCTACTGGGTTGCAAGTGAGCTTTCTTATCATCTTTCAAGTTACTTGTTTATTCATTGAACATAAGTTTTCATTGATATGAGCAATGTTGTAGTTATGAAAGTCCATCGTATTCTATATCATCTTTCCTAGTTGCACCTTTTCTTGGTGGCATATCTTGGTTCATTTTTAACATGACATCTAGGGTATGGGAACATTTGTATTTATGTATGTCCATCATCTATTTCATTTTCCTTTTGATTCTCTTTGAACAACTATGAACCGATCCATAATATGATCAAATCTTTGTGGAATCTAGTTGCTGGCTTTATTTTTAAGGCAAGCTACAAACTTCTTATTGATAAAATGTCGTAAAAGGATATCCGTTAAGTGCCTATCATCTGTGGACCAAAAATTTCATACTGCCGATACCCAATCAGCAATATGACTCAGTGAACCACGTAAATCTGTGAGATGAAAGCGAGTTACTTTGTTGTTTATAAGCTAGTTAAGCTATTGTGGTCTAATGGCTGTAATGTTTGTTGCAGCAGAATGACCAATGTCGTTTTAAGTTTTGGTTTTATTTCCATACAATGTATAACTCAAGAAAGTGTATGCTTTTTTCGCTCTTATTACGTGCAGTATGCACGAGCGTTGAAGGAGAAAGGAGTGGAGGTTAAAGTCATTGTGTTCCCTGAGGACACTCATGCAATTGATAGGTAAAGTGGTCTTATGTCCATCAAATTGCAGTATCTGGTACTTGAGTTTCATATTTCACTTTCATATTTTGAACTTGCGTTTACATCTCTTTTGCAGACCACAATCTGACTTTGAAAGCTTTTTAAACATTGGAGTCTGGTTTAAGAAGTACTGCAAATAGATGGATTCTATTCATGTCTTAACTGAGACTTTCGACATACCTTCCTGCTGATATTGTCATAAGAGCAGAGGGGCATGGTATTTAAGTGGGGAGAAGAGCAGAAGGGGCGAGCCCATTATTCATCAAGTTTTGAACTACGCCTTTTCTAAGATTTCTCGGGTATCATAAAAGGAAAATTTTGAATCGTTCATTGGAAAATGGATGAGATGTTTTTAGAAAATCAAAAACTTGCTCTTTTTTATTTAATGACAATGGAAATACATATATTATACACTTCGGCTAGCGAATGCAATTTGTTTCAGCAGACCGGATAATTTTGTATTTTACCCTAAAGAGAATGAGTAATAATTTGTTTCCTCCACTTCTGTAACCCCTTGCACCAATTGCCATTTTTTTTAGACTGAGTTCATAATGATGTCATGATTGGCTTTGTCACTCGGGAGAAGCAAATCTTGATTAAAGCTTCTTAGAAATTTTCGTTGTAATATTTACTGGTTTACTGTATAAATTATAAAAGTGAATGGGTGCTTAGTAAAGAAAAAATATACTATTTGTGTTTAAATTCAAAACATCGTTATGACAATGTCTTCCATGCCAAATTAACTTTATTATAAAACTCAGACAAGAATAAAAACACTTTATTTTGTTAAAAACATATTCCGAAAAGTTATTTCTGGACTGACCAATACTTGACGTTGGACCAATAATTTCTAGTCTGACTTAGGCTTGAATGGATTTGGACCAATAAAAACAAAAATAGCCGTCTGTGGGGATCGAACCCACGACCACGTGGTTAAAAGCCACGCGCTCTACCACTGAGCTAAGAAGGCCTACGATGTGATTGAATTCTTTGGGTTTAAATATTACAGAGTCGGATATACAATGTGGTTCCGCTAATTCAATAATTTTTGCCCAAACTCGGTATGGGCATGACGAAATTTTCTGAATATCTATAAATATTTAATTGAGCCGATGGTCTTTCTTGAGCAGAGAGTCTATTGGTAAATACACATATTCGTCTTTGGATGTTTTAGCTTTTCACCAAGAACATATTGCTACTCTCACTTTGACAGTTCATCATCTTTTGAAGAAATTAAATTGAACTTTCTACTGGAAGTGTTACGAATTGCTCATGAGTCTTCTATTGACTCACTGAAAAATTTACTTTTTAATGAGTTTGTTCTTGAATTTGGACAAGTAAAAATGATAATTCTTTCTCATCGTTGAGGGTGATATCATATGTTCAACTAGTAAGTATATCGTAATGTAGGAAAATTTACGCGACACAACAAACATATACATTGTATTTACCATTCTTAGTTATACTCTTAGGAAATTACCATTCAAAACTATATTTGAATTTTATAGCAAATCCACCTGAAAGTACTGAAACAAGATATCAAATGTTTTGAACTGAAACAAGAGAGCAACAAGTTCTTGTATCTCTATTGGTTAGACCACCTGCTTTAGTAAGGTGGATGTCTTTAGTTTGATTCTCAATGAAAGCATTCTATTTTTTTGTATTTCTGTATTTTGTCTTGGTTGTATTCGTTGTGGTACAAGCTATGAATAATAATTATGCAAACTATTATTACATATAATAATTAGGATCTAAACTGTAGTGTTTTATGAAAATACCTCACAAATATATATACGAATATGAACAAGAACTAGTGAAAAACATTGTGCAACTAAAATTCAAGAAGAGAAGTTTTCATTTACAAAATCATATTCAAAGACTAAAATGAATATTTTTAACTCCCAAGCAGAACAAAGTTCCTATTACTAGCAATGTGCCTATACATTTAAAAGTACTAGAGATAGCTACCAATGTACAACTCCGCCGCCGGCATCCGCCGCAACGGAATTAAATCTCCGCCGTGTAATCAGTAAAATTCATCCAACAACCATCTTCAAACAGGGTCGAACTCAAAGAATGAAGAAATTCCTGATATGGATCGCTTTCTCGTCAAGTGAACCCTATACTATCTCTATGGGATGTTAATTTAGATTAATCGAGCTAGTCAATTTCGAATATTAGATGTATAACGCAGAAAAATAATTTCTTTCAAGATCCATTAGTGTACCATGAAACTACTATATCCTTCAACCCACCTTTCAATTCCTCCCATTGAAAATCCTCAAATTCCAATCCACCATTAACAACCTTAATCTCCACCAACAACAGCTCCATTGCCACCTCCAAAATTTCCACCATTAAAACAACTCTGCCTTTAACCAATCCAATTCCCCTACCTTTCCCTCTTTCCACTTTATACCCTCCTTCTTTTCCAATTTTCATCACTTTCTCTTCAACTTCCCCAATTTTCGCTCTTGTCGTAAACCTCATCTCTTTCTTACTCATTCCAATTTCAAATAACCCAGATAAATCCAACCCAGATGACATTGATATTATATCAAACGCATTTATCCTGCCCAAGTTTTTACACTCTTTTTCATACACACATTCATCGAATTTCTGCTGACGATTAGATTCTCCTTGTTTCAGCCCGGATTTCTTGAACCACGAAAGATTCATTAATTCCTCAATGCTTAACCTGGTACTCGGGTTAGGATCAAGTAGTCGCTTTATTATATTCCGAGCTGGTTTTGAAACCCAATCAGGAAACTTAAATAGGCGACGGTGTATTGCATGGTACATGCTTGATATATTGCTATCATCAAATGGAAGGAACCCAGAAAGAAATGCAAATAATATAACTCCACAAGACCACGAATCCGCCTTTGCGCCATCGTATCCTTTTCTATAAGCTACCTCTGGTGCAGTATAAGCTGGAGTTCCACAAGCAGTATGAAGGAGACCGTTGTTTAGTTGTTCAGGTAAGGCGGAGAGCCCAAAATCAGAGATTTTGAGGTTGTTGTTCTGGTCGAGGAGAAGGTTTTGAAGCTTGATGTCGCGGTGAGTCACCCCATTTTGATGGCAAAAGTGGAGGGCTGAGACCAACTGGTGAAAATAAAACCGCGCTGTCGAGTCAGAGAACCGACCGCGACGGTTCAGCTTAGCGTAGAGATCGCCACCCGTGGCGATCTCCATGATTAAGTAGATTTTGGTTTTCGTCGCCAACACTTCGTCGAGTTTGATGATGTTGGGATGATCATTGACACGTGTCATAACGGAGACTTCGCGAATGATCCGAGGCTCCATTGAAGGATCCGAGATAGAGGTTTTGTCAATAACTTTTATGGCGATGTTAGTATTATTGTTTAAACAGCGGCCGTCGTAGACTTTAGCGAAGCTACCACGGCCTAAAAGACGGCCAAGTTGATACTTGCCGAGAATGATGGTTCCGGTTCCACTACCGTCGGCACTGGTTGTTCTTCGGAGTTTCAAGGCGGAGGAGGGTGGTTGGGTGCATTTTACGTCCATGCCTGCGGCGGCGCGTGGTTGGAGGAGAAAGAGAAAAGTTGGGGTGGCAGAGGAGGAGGTATTTGCGTTGGTTTTATAGGAGAAAGGAGTATCAGTTTTGACTTTTGAGTGAGGCTTCACTGGATATAAGCTGTTTTTTTTTAACCGCGTTTCTTCAACTTGCTTTTGCCAAAAAATATAAATAAATAAAAAAAATATTTATGTGAAAACTTTTAAAGTCCTAAATAAATAAAATATTTAATCTTTCAAAAAATAAAATGACTTGTTTCTACAAAAATAACTCAAACAGACTGATTTTTATTAAAAAAAAAAAACTCAACTTTTTAAAGAAGAAAAATACTGCATGCTTGTTATTTTATATTTTTATTACAATGTCTAACTGGATACAGAGTTATTTAAATAAATATTTTCGTAACATAAGCTTGCGTATAATATGCTTCAATAAACTTATACTCTTAAATATGTCAGTTATTTTTATAAGACGTTATTAATGGCAAAATGTGAATAATAGAACCAAGGAATTTCAATCTTAAAATGTATCGATCTATTTGGAATTGATTAATAATCATTTAAAATGGAATTGAGAAAGAATTTAAATAGTGTAACGAAATTATCCAATTTAAAATTTTTATAATAGTAATTTCTTGTGAAAGCCGTCTAGCCCGTGAATTATAATAACAAATCCTTGAGTTATGATGAGATATATTGGCAATGAAAAGTTTTGTTAAGTTGTATTGTTTCTTACTATTTCTAGATTACTAAATTAAAATAAAAGGACAGAATTATCGACGTCTAATTCCACTCACAAATAAATTAATTTGACCTTTAAAAAGCAAAAAAATGACAGGATAAATAGTGCGAAGTTTTAATTTCCACTCTTTGACGTTATTTGAACGTAGCTTTTGAATAGAAAAATATTGCACAACAAGGCATAATAAGATCAAGGAAGTAACAGTAAAAAGTTGTGGTGGAGTAGTAAATATTCTTTTATCTATAACCAAAGATCTTCGTTCGATACCTGGGTATAAAGTCACCTTCCGTAACTATGTTTTATTTCAAAACAGAGTTTTTCGGCTCAAATATAGTCGGGCCCTAAAATGGGTACTGAACACATATGAAAAAAATAAAAATAGATAAGGTCAAGGATGTAAAAAAATTCTATCTTGTAAAAGCTTAGTGAATAAATAATTATAGGTGTAAATCCGTATTGGAGCAAATTGTCATTTCTAATGTCCAAATTATGTTGTCTATACATATCTGACCAAAAAAAATGTTGTCTTTACAAAAGATGAACGTTTTTAAATAAAAAGATTGGACTATTTCTTAATAACAAATAGAGCACATGATGTTTTCCAATTATCTCTTGATTACTTTAACTTGAATCTGATATCTTCTTACATAATATGCACTTATTTTTTAATAAATCTTCTCCACTTCCACAATAAGTTAATCATCAAAGTTCTAATTGGTAGATATTTTTCTCTGAATATATTCTTTAAAACCCGTCATTTTCACTTTTTTTAATAACGTATGTCACCAGCTTCATTTACTTTTAAAAGTTCAAGTATAAACAATTTGCTACTGAAAGTTGGTGACAGATAAGAATATGCAAAGTAGATAGTGAAATTAAAAATCTCTTTTTTTATTTATGTTATAAGCATATGGTAAGCGATAATTATTGACTCGACTAATCCACTTAGAGCTCATTAAAAGGGCGTGAAGTGCTTCCTACAAAGATTTTTTTACTTAAACTCGAGACACTACTAAAAAAAAATTAAAATTAGTTACGAATTCCATTGCTAATTAGTCGCTAAATCACTTCTAGCTAATATATACTTTGATAATATATCGCTAATTTATCATTAAGTAAAATTAATGACATATTTTGTTGTTTAACTACAGAATTATTTAGCCGGCACTAATTCTTACTTTTTAATAGTGAGTTCTAATTTAGAATAGAGGGATCAAATTTATTCCACTATATTGCTCGGTGGTACCTTTGACCCTTTATCAAGTCGTGACAAATAGACATGCAACACCTTTACGTGACTTTATGAGATATTTATAGCAACTTTAATTAGCACTATGGAAGGTTTCGTATTAGTTTTCATTGTTCTACTTGCTTTTCAGTAATGGTCAAAGTCATATGAGAATATGTTGCTTTTAATTTGAAGAGTAGTTGTGGGACTTCGGTGTCAAAGTTGCTCTGGTTGTGAGCATTCTCAAATTTCAATCAAAAAGTTCTGAGTTCGAGTCATCCCAAGAGCAAGGTGGGGAGTTCTTGAAAGGAGGGAGGCGAGGGTCTATCGGAAACAACCTCTCTACTCAGGGTAGGGGTAAGGTCTACACACTACCCTCCCCAGACTTCACTAGTGAAATTATACTGGGTTATTGTTGTTGTTGTTGTGGGACTTCCTTGCCTATTTCCTTATGTTCCTTTATCAGAGTCACTAGATGCACGCTGCTCATTTTGATGCCCTTTACGGCTATGCACAGGCAACTGCATGCACTGCTAATTAAAAAAAGCAATCCCGTGCACTAAGTCTCCGTTACGTGCGGAGTTCGTAAAAGAGTCGGACTACAAAGGTTTTCTGTATTTCTGCAAGAGATTGTTTCCACTGCTTGAACTTGTGACTTCCTGGTCACATACATTGCTAATTGCAGCTTATTATTTCAGATGCTTAGTTGGAGTAATCAAAGACAGAGTCATGATTTAAATTTTATGAATTTTAGATTTTAAAACGCGGTCAAAAGTACTAATAATTGAATTCTAAATTTAATTTTTATACATATTTAATGATTTTTTTTTAACACAAAAATGTTTGGATCGAAACTACGACATTCTGCGGAACCGACATGTTATATACTATCCCCGCACTGTGGTCGACTAAAATGGAGGAGGCTACGTGGTTTCAAGGAATACAATTAATTCGCGTTGTACTAAAGGAACAGATTCACTCACCTTATTTTCAAAGATAGATAGAAAAGGTTAGGCAGTTCCAATTGTTGAGATGGTATAGTAATATGTGTCTGTCTTTCTGTATGTATAATTGTTGAATCTCCTTATAACATGAGAAACTTTTAATTCAGTGCTAAAACTAATTCAAAATTTGCTTTAGATGGTTGGCTTAAATCCAAATGACCTATGGGAAATTCAAATTACAAAGGCTTCTAAGGTAGTAGCAAACCAAGGGCATTATATAATCATTTTCTAATTTGACGTGGTTGAATTAGAGCATGCAAACTGTTACTATTATAAATTAATATGCAGATTTTTAATAGTAATTGTTAAATGTTAACTGCCCCTTTGTTCTCTCTACTATTTTGATTAAGTAAACGTTTGATAATAGCTATTGCTGTTAACGCTTACTATATCCATATGTAACTTCTTCTTCTTATCAACTTTCAATAATAGACTTTGTTCACGAGCCCAACATAGGTGTAAAATATAAAAAATGATACAACTTATTGTTATAACGATTTATTTATTTGTTCACTTTTTAAAATTTTGATATCGCTTAGGAAAATTCTTGCATACCCCAATTAGAACTAAATTAACATACTCCAAATGGTCCAGACTTTACTAGTAAAAATTACTTTATGTGGAGCCAAAAAAAGATTCTTTATAGCTAGCAAATCTAATTTTTACTTGGCATACAGATAGAGCATCTTTTGGTACCTCTCAAGAGTCACCAATATGTAAATTATTAAAATTTAATTATGGTCTTTTCCTTTGTCTCCATTAAAGTTGTTATAATCGAATCTAATACAACTTTTTTCAAAGGACATATTCTTGACATTGGCAAGAAAATCTAATTTCGTTTGTTTATTGGCCCAAATGGTCACTCCCCTTCCATTGAATAACCTTAATTATATTTTAGTGTTTAAAGAAGAAATCATCAAATCTTGTTTTGTGCTTATCACTGAGGCCGTAACTACTTAAAGCTTCACTATTAATCAGTGTCCACTGTGGAATAGAACCTTAAAATATATTAGATCAACGACAAGAGAACCTAAATAATTTTTGTGCTGGCTTCATATATAGTACCAAATTAATTGCTTTGTTTTAGTCACACTTTACCTATTAGAGAAATCATTTCTTAAGAAATACTTCATTGACTTAGTTGGATTGACATGATAAAATGTTTGAAATTGGCTCATTCCTTAATTAGTCTTCTCAAATTTTTCTGCATCAAGCTGTCAGCGACGGACCCAGAATTTTGTATAAGCGGGTCCTGACGGAGACTAAGTCATCGATATCATCTGACAGTAAAAGTGACATTGGGCATAACAAACTAGTTTTGCCCTCCGCCCTTTATTTTGGTTCATAACCTCAAAGGGGTTATTTCGCTACTCTTTATTTTGTTTTGAGGTCGCTTTCTTAAAAAAATAAAAATAACAATAGCTCTATTACTTTCAAAAGTTTGACAATTTATTAACTTCACAACTTTTTGAAGTTTTACTTAAAAAAATCAATTCAATAAAAAACTGAAAACTCACGGTAAAATTGAGACTAAGGCACTAGTAAAAAGGCAAGGCAGAGATTCAAACTCAAAACCTCTTATTCATATTGAACCCACATGAACCATCACGCCAGAATTCCATTTTCTGTCAAGTGGGTTCAATTTTATTTATTTATTTGAAAATTTGTTTCTTAGAAAAATAAATTCCACTTAAAGATAATTTAATTTTTTAATAAAGCGAGTTCAACTTAACATGTTTGAACCAACATGAGTCTGCCCTGCCAGCGGCTCATAGCGGACAACTTGGCCTTTATTGAGCCAAGTGCTACATTGTTCCAATGGCTAGGACGACAGAAACATCCTAAATAGAGATTTTGTAATTTTGTGGTTTATTACTAATATTTCTTTTTATTATATGATCATTTAAAAGGAACATAGTAATTAATAACGTATGAGATTGGTAAATAAAATACATAAAAAAATTATTGGGTCATTTTTTTTAATTTAAATAATAACTAATTATAGGAAATTATTTCCTAAAGTGAGAATACTGTTGGAGACAAGAGGGAGGAAACATGAAATTGAATAATTGAGGGACACAGATTTCTGCTCTGTTTC